GACACTGCAGAGGAAAAGCAGAATGCAGCATTTCCGTTACGAAACATAAGCCTCCGGAGCATCTAGTTGGCAACTGCAATTCACGAACCCCAGCCTGTGACACAGAAAGTAATTCCAACACACAGGACTGTGTGTTCTTTTCAATGCAAAAATGGGACTGACCTTTGGAGTAGTCACCAGAACTTTCAAACTAAGCCCTGATGGTGTTCCTCTGTGAAGGGGTAGGTGGGCTGAAGTGGGGTGGTAGGGTGTGGCAGGGAGAATGCACCCGCCAGGTGTGTTTGCATTTAGTTAGGAAGTCAGGATGGTGTTGCTATGATGGATTGTGTGTGGACTATGAGGTGGCCGCATTGTGTCAGTCTGAGAGGCTGGCTCCATAGGTGACTCCCATCTCTAGAAACCTGTAAGTCAGTGATGAAGATTTCTTGAAAGCCATGATAAATATTCTGTGTTCTAAATCAAAAATCAAAAGGTCAAAAGTCACTTGCACAACTATTGCTTTCCATGCAGAACCAGATGCACACTTTAGAACACTGACTACAATGCAGGCTATTATGCAACATCTGCATTAGTCCTGTTGAGCTGTGAGTACATTAATAGGTTTCATCAGACATCAGTTAACATTTTGGTAATATTCACATAGTTTGTGTTAGCCAGTGTACAGTTGGCTGTTTTTAAGTTCTCCTCTCTAAAGTCCTCATTACTGTTGTTTACTCCCTCCTGTATCTCCATGTAATCAGACTTACTTATGGTAGAGGCACTTCTACTTTTCTTTAGGTCAGGGGAGGACGGGATCTTTGGACAGCTTGTCACTTGCAAGTACTGGGCCTGCTCCTCTCCCTCTGTCTCCCGATGGTAGAAGTAGTTGAAATTAGACACTATGACAGGGACTGGTAAGGCAATGGTTAATACACCTGCAATTGCACACAGGGAACCCACTATCTTTCCCCCAATGGTAGTTGGAACCATGTCTCCATAGCCTACAGTTGTCATGGAGACAACTGCCCACCAGAAAGCATCCGGGATGCTGGGGAATTGGGAATCTCGCTCATCAGCTTCTGCAAAATAGACAGCACTAGAGAAGAGGATGACCCCAATGAAGAGGAAGAAGATCAAGAGGCCCAATTCCCTCATGCTGGCTTTGAGGGTCTGACCTAGAATCTGCAGGCCTTTGGAGTGTCTGGACAACTTGAAAATCCTAAAGACTCTTACCAACCGGATGACACGGAGAATGGCCAATGACATGGCCTGCTGGCCTTGCTGGGCGTCCTCTGGCTTCTCAGCTAACTCTGTCCCCAGGGTTATAAAGTAAGGAATGATAGCCACAATGTCAATGATGTTCATAATGTTGGTGAAGAAGCCAGCTTTGCTGGGACAGGCAAAGAATCTCACCAGAAACTCAAAGGAGAACCAGATGATGCAGAGAGTCTCTACAATGAAGAAAGGGTCAGTGAAGGAGGTGGACTGCTGGTACCCGATGGTGCTGTTGGAGTAGGTGTGGAAGGTCACCCCACCACCATGCATGTCCTCATTCTCATCCCGGAAGATGGGCAAGGTTTCCAGACAGAAGCTGACGATTGAGATCAGAATAACCATGACGGATACAATGGCTATAATCCTGGCAGGCCCCGAGCTCTCAGGGTATTCAAAGAGAAGCCACACCTGTCTCTGAAACTCATTTTCGGGCAGAGGACGCTCTTCTTCCTTGATGTAGCCTTCATCCTCCCGAAACATCTCCATTGCTTCTTCTCCTAGCTCATAAAACCGGATTTCTTCAGAGAATATATCTAAGGGCACATTCACAGGTCGCCTCAACCTGCCTCCAGACTGGTAGTAGTACAAAATGGCATCAAAGCTAGGCCGGTTGCGATCAAAAAAGTACTCATTTCGCAGGGGATCGAAGTACCTCATCCGCTTCTTGGGGTCCCCTAAAAGGGTCTCTGGAAACTGGGCTAGGGTCTTTAGCTGAGTCTCAAACCGCAGGCCTGAGATGTTGATCACCACCCTCTCACAGCACTCGTGGTCTGCCTCTGGGTCATAGGTGTCCTGTGGGTGCCCAGGGAGGGCAGCAGCCTCGTCCACTGGGTCTCCGGTAGCCACTGTCATAATTGGGCTGAGGAGAGTACTTTACTCTATGCCTTCCAGCTGCTTGCAGCAGGGGGGCTGAGGGTGCTGGTCACTGGGCCCCAAGAAACTCAGAAGCATTAGTCTGTGCTCCTTCAGGAGAGGCCCAGAGCCCTCTGAGAGCTGGAGACACAGCCTCGCTTGGCTGAAAGACAGAGGCAGGGAAAGACATGAGACCACCAGTCATTGGCAACCTGATATGAGCTGTACTTGATGTCCCGCATCTCTCAGCCAAGAGCTCAGAAACACAACCATACCATTATCCCCGCCACTGAAGCTACTTTCACCTTGTAACTTCTCTAGGGATCAGTAGGGTTCAGGGAACAATCTTTCAATTATAGAGTGGCCTGCACTGGAGGCAGGCGGCTGAGACAGGCTCCTGTGTACCACACAGCATCCTGGGACACAGCTCCATAGGAGGAGGTGAGGAGGGAGCCCTCGGCCAGGCACTGCGCTAATGTTTCACCAACACCTGCATCACAAGAGGTACTCATGGGAAGGTGTTTGGGGCCTGGGTCTTCGTCCCTGATACCACCCCCAATGACTCTAGTTGTCTGTTACTGATTGGTTGATTTACCTGTCCAGGCAGGAGCCTGAGGTGCTTTTCCTTGGAGAGCAGCAGATCAGATGCCACAGGCAGGAATCCTAGCTACACAAATAGGCAGCTCAACTCCCCATCCCATCTTCTCACTTGAGCTGGAAATAATGGTGAGTCATTCTGAGCAGGAGGGCAGGCTCCAGGTCCTGGAGGTGTGCTTTAGGACTGGATAGGGCTGGAGGAGGAACAGTTTGATGCTTGGCCAGGGGCATTCAGGACTCGAGAAGAGTGAAGCCTGGGTCTGAAGCCTTTGGGAGGAAGGAGGTAAGACGCCCAGCTCAGCAAAAAACAGAGTCCTCCTGGCTGTCCTCAGGAGGTGTGACGTTCCCTGCAAAACACAGCAGCAAGGTGGAACCCAGGGCTTTCAGGCAGCGGGAACCAAGACTTAGAAGGACTCTGGCAGATCCCCTCTCTGCAAGTGGCAATCCCCCCATGCCTACTTTTCATGGTGGTAGTGGCCGAGAACTCCCATGGACCCTCCTAGCCTCTCCTGGGTAAGCCTTTCTTCCTATTAGCTTGAAGCTCTTTCTCCTCCCGGTCCTCTGCTGCCACCCGGAGCGATCCAGCTTTCTCTATCCCGGTGTCAGAACACCTATCTCCCAAAGGGAGGGTTTTCCCCTCTGACCTTAGCCGTGTCCCGGTGAAGAAGCAATCCTTCCTCCTCCAACACACACGCCTACCCAGCTAGAGAGACCCCTGCACACAGCCAGATCGCCTCTGTAGAATGCTGGAGAGCCGGGGTCGCTGAACTTACTCTCCCTCCGGGATCCCTGGGCCTCAGGCCTTGCTCTGGGTTGGGTGGCATTTGAGCTGGGCAGGCACTCGACCACTGATTTCTTCCCAAGAGAAAATCCCTCACATCTCGGCAGGGAAGCACAGAACAAACGCTCAAGCTGTTTGGCTGCGAGGAGGATTGGCTTCACGGAGAGGGGGAGCCTAGAGGAAGCTGGCTTCCGGGCTGGCCCCCCGCCGACCCAATCCCGCCGGCCCCAGGGCCGGGAGGGGTCTGGGCCCTCTCCCATCGCCCCGGGCTCCGGCCCGGGATTCCGCCGGGCGCGCTCCCGCCGGAACCCGCGCGGCTGGCCAGAGCCTACAGCCGTCGGCCGGCTGGAGCGTGCCACCTTAACCCCTTCCTGCGCAGTGCGGTGGGCTCCCGCTGTGGGCCCGAGGACAGCCTAGCTGGTGCCTGCCAGGTCCAGCTGAGGGACCACCGAGGCTCGTCTCCACCTGAAAACACAGGAGCCTCTCAACTCTGAGGGTGCAGAGCAGGCTTCGCCAGGCAGCCGCCCCAGTTCTAGCTTCCTCTTAGGCAAGGGGGCTCTGCGGCAGCCCACCACCCGGGCCAAGCGGAAAAGCAGCGACTGCAGAGACGCTTATTTTACTCTATTGCCGAGAGGCAAATGCAACCAGGAGGACCCAAGTGACTCGAGTCCCACCCACCCACTATTTACCAGACATGGCTATGCAGTCAGCTGCACTTCCCATCACCCGCCACCTCCAATCTGCGCCCTCCGCCCTATGTCACGCACAGACCACAGGGTCCCCGAGCCCATTCCATGCACTCTTCTGAAGGGGCAATTTCCCCCTCCCCACCCTCCACCCCCGCCGCGGCCGGCGCGGGTCCATAACCCTCCAGGTCGACAGCAGGGGTCGACACCAGCTCGCCCGCCCAGACTACCGGTGTGCCCTGCAGCCCCTCTGGGCGCTGCAGCCGGGCAGGGATGGCAGCACGCGCAGCGGAATGCCGGACACTGATTTACCCTTGCGGATGGGTACCCGAGCCTCCATGTTCCTGGGTGACATCCAGGGCCGGCAGAACCCGGGCAGCGGGCGGTGGCGGTGGTGGCGGCGGGGTGCGGGCGGCCAGCCGGGAGCAGACTCTGCAGTCCCGCGGGCGGCG